CTCAACAAGTTTCTTTTTCAGTGAGCTAAATTGTTTAGCTTTATTTGGGGTACGCTTTATTTAGGGTGTGGTGGCATCAGAAAAGTTTCTTAGCTTTATTTAAATTTAGGCTAATTGTTAACAAAATATTCCCCAAACAGTGTGGACACGCTAGGGGTTCTTACAGTAGTAGTTAAGCACCGGTGTCTAATCGAGGTGTTGCATCGGGCCGCAGGCTCGCAAAATCTGGTTGGCTGGAGTGGGTGCTTGTCGCGACTGCACTCTCGTTGTGGTGCCGTGTGCATTTATTTTCGGACATCATGGTCACTTTTCGTGGCAGGCGCAAGGGAAACCTCGTGGTGGTCCAAAATCGACTTTCGGAGCGGTGTCACATCGAAGTGCAGATTTCGTGGCAGGCGCGGCACTTTGGATATGGTGGTGATCTTCGACGCGCTCCAATTTCGTAACAGGTGCAGTGAACTGTGACTTTTCTACATGTGGCTTGCTTTCAGAAATCAGGAGAAGTCTCGCGCGAAAGCTGCGTTTGGTATTTGTATGTTGTCAGGGCCAGGGCTGCCGCAGGTGAATCTTGAAGTGCAGATTTCGTGGCAGGCGCAGCGCTTTGTGAACCTCAAAGTGCAGATTTCGTGGCGGGCGCAGCGCTTTGTGAACTTTGAAGTGCGGATTTCGTGGCAGTGAACCTCGAAGTGCAGATTGCACGGCAGGCGCAGCAGTCTGTGCTTTCTGAGGCGTGCTCTCAGATGCTCACTCTCCTCTCTCTCTCTCTCTCTCTCTCGCTCGCGCTCGCGCTCGCGCTCACGCTCGCGCTCACGCTCACGCCCACGCCCACGCCCACGCTCACGCTCACGCTCACACCCGCACTCGCACTCACACTCACACTCAACACTCGCTCCCTCACTCGCTCGCTCGCTCGCTCGCTCACTCACTCACTCACTCTCTCACTCACTCACTCTCACTTACTCACTCTCACTTACTCACTCTCACTTACTCACTCTCACTTACTCACTCTCACGTACTCTCTCTCACTCACTCTCTCTCACTCACTCACGCCCTCACCTCACCTCACCTCACCTCATCTCACCTCGCCTCGCCTCGCCTCGCCTCGCCTCGCCTCGCCTCGCCTCGCCTCGCCTCACCTCACCTCACCTCACCTCACCTCACTTCACTTCACTTCACTCCACTTCACTCCACTTCACTCACTTCACTCACTTCACTTCACTTCACTTCACTTCACTTCACTTCACTTCACTTCACTTCACTCCACTCCACTCCACTCCACTCCACTCCACTCCACTCCACTCCA